TCCGTGAACCAAAATCGAGACCGGCATCCCGCGATAAAGCCCACGCAGCCCCTCATGGGCGATAATCCGGCGAAGGGTGTAGGGCAAGGGCTGGGGGCGGTCCAGGGGGTTGAAGACGTACCGCCGCGTGCGGGAAAGGTCCAGGGGGTAGAACAACACCGTCGCCAAGGAGCCGCTCAGGGCGCCCGCGAGGCCGTGCACCCACGGGCGGTCCTCCACCCTCGGCAAGGCCGGGTTGGAGGTGCTAAGGGAAACCATTAAAAGCCCCTGTGGAGAATAATATGGATATCGTGCCAAATCACAATACGCTAAAATATTTTATATATATATAAAAAGAAGAAAAAATGAAAGGGGAGCGGTGGGTTCGCCTCTGTCCTTCCCTCGTTTGGTTGTGCTATGGAAACGTTCGGGCGGAACCAGTCTCCCTGCTCTGGAGTATAATTAATCGATCCCAAATGCTTGCTGTTTGTATTAAAAATTAGTATTTAATAATAATAATACAATTATGGAATAAAAAAAGAAGAATCCAGTTTAGAGACCTTCGCTTGTGTTAATATGATAAATATGATTATTATTAAAATGCGTAGTAGTGAAAAATATAGGTTAGGATTTTTAAAAAATCGTTTGACTTTTGTTTTTGGTGCTTTACTAGAAAAATGTCAAAGAGTGATAAGAAGAAAATAACGATTGTATTAATATAATTATTTTTCATCACAAAATAATAGCAATACACATAGAGTAGATTCATATCATTCTAGATAAGTATTCTTGTAATTTCGTAACTTTCATACGCTTACCTTTTACCCTGTAATCTCTTATTCTGAATATTACAGAAAAATACAATACATTCCCCTTTCTTTTCACCTTTATTTAAAATAAAGAGGAATTTACACAAAATATGTTGCCCTTTTCAGTTTCGCACCTGTTAAAATAAAGGACCATCTACATGTATTGGCAAGCTATGTGATTATGCTGTATAAATGGCCACATACCGTTTCATTAAAAAGGAAAACAAGAAGGGAATCAATTAGGTCACAGTGAAATTATGTATCGCTTATATTAAAAAAAAAACTATAATAAGGTGTGATTTCGTTATGGCATAAGAATTTGCGTAACATGAAATAAGCGTATCACACCTTTCGTATTGCTAAGTGCCTGTATTATGCACATCATCTGAACCCAAAAAAAAAGCCACAGCTTCTCTTCCAGTAAATAAAAATGGTTTAATAACTAAAATATTTTTAGTAAAAGCACCAATTTCCACACGAAGACACTTTTGAGATGTAGAAGGTTCAAATAATCTTCTTTATTCGTGATGTTCAGCAATCATTAATTACTATCAAAAAAATGAAAAACACTTTTGAACAAGAAAACTTTAATTCTCAATTGAGCCTACCTTCTTTTTCTCTCTCCTTAAATTACCTGTAGAAAATTATTTCGAAAAAAGTATATGGAACTCTACTGAAGCTCCGGCCAGGTGAAGCATTCACTTCCTGGTTTATCCAAACGCTCGTAGCCGTGGCGGCCGAATACATCGCGCTGGAGAGATACAATCTGGCCGTATTGCAAGAGCGGCGTAAACATGGCGTTGATGTAGTTCAGAGAAGCCGACATCACAGGCAAGGCGATCGACGTATTCGCGGTGAGGGATCCCATGATACTGCGATAGCTATGAATCCCCTCCATGATCTCCTTCTTAAAGTGGCACATTAGATTAGATAAATTAGGGTTCTTCTCGAAGGCTTCCGTCATAGGCTGGAGAAGGTGCCCTTGTAGGATACATCCGGCGCGAAAGGTCGCGATCGTGGCAGGCAGATTGAGCCCGAAGTCGTAGACTTTGTCGAGGTCCCGCAGGCATTGGAACATTTGCGCGTAGCTCGCGATAATCGAAAGGCAGGCCGCGTGATAAAGCTGCCGAACCTCGGCCGAGCTATCAGACTTGTCGGTAAGGGTAATCCCGGAGCCCTGCTTGACAATTGGGATGTTCGCCGCGTTTGCAATGCGCTCCTCCTTATACATCGTCAGCTGGCGCGAGATGACAGCCATCGCCAGCGAAGGCGCCGGCACGCCAACCTCCAACGCCTCTTGCACTGACCACAGGCCGGTCCCTTTGGAGCCAATACGATCCTTGACCTTTTCCGTGAGATAATTCCCTTCCTCCTTCGCACGGCAAACGGCAATGCTGATATCCAGCATGTAGGACTTCAAGAACCCCTTGGCCTTCCAGGCCTCAAAGATGTCCCCGATCTCGTCGTTTGTCAACCCCATCGCCCGAAGGGCACTGAAAATCTCTCCCCAGATCTGCAGGATGGCGTACTCGCCTGCATTATGATACATTTTTACACAAGACCCCGCCCCGCCACGGCCGTTGAAGGTCACACAGGGCCGATTATCCTCCGCCTTGGCGGCGGCCGCCTCGACGATTGGGCGGACCTCCCCCCAAGTGCTGGGGGTACCGCCGGGGAAGAAGGCGGGCCCTTTCCGTGCGCCCTCCTCGCCGCCGGATATGCCTATTCCCATAAAACGTAGCCCCTCCTTCTCCAGCTGCTCTGCACGAGCCCCTTGGTCCTTGAAATTCGCGTTCCCAGTGTCAATAATGATATCTTTTGGCGAGAGGACCTCCCGAAGATTGTTGATCGTCTCAGTTGTCGCCGCACCTGCTTGGACCAAAATAAAGATCTTCCGCGGTGTTTTAATGGATTTAACAAATTCTCCCAAGGTATCAAAGCCATGCAAATTGGTGTCAAAGGGTTTAGACTTGATGTTCTTAGTAATAAAATCCACCGTTTTCGAAGCTGTACGATTGTAGACAGCCACATGGAAGCCTTTCTCGGCGATATTGAGAGCCAAATTGGCTCCCATCACTCCTAGGCCAATAATACCAAGATCGTTTGACATTGTTAGTTATAAGTTTTTGCGGGTCTGCGCACGTGTATATATATATAACAGATATGATTTGCCTTCCTGACAGTAGTTTAAATTTCAAAAATAAGCGAACTCGCTTGAAATGAATTGTTTGGAAAAGTGTAAAAAAAAATGTTATTCAGGCTATTAAAAGAGGGCAATCAATTGGGTAAATGCGCATAGCGCATTTAACCCCAAGTATGAGAAACTGTTTTCAAAGGGCATGGAAACGAAAACTGTTTTATAGTTTGCAATATATCAATATAGTAAAAATCTAAAATTACTAGGGTAAAAAGTACTCTGTGCGGTGAAACATCCTTGCCGTTAGGGTTACCTCTGAATGCTCAAAGTTTTTTCGCAAATTCTCGGTTTATCGACATATTCATCCGCAACCGTTCCTGTTCCTTTTCAATATCTTGAATTAGCTTTTCACGCTTTCGCCTCAGAAGAATTCGTCTCCTTGCTTTGAGAGAGACACGGGAAGGGTCTTTTGCCTTGCAGAGTTTCTGATCGGCCTTGACTGCCGTCGATGGGTCGGTGGGGTCGGAGGATGACGGACCTGGAGGCGCCGAACGAGCCGCCATGAGTTCCTTTACATTACGACGCAGTTTTCTGCGCCTACGAGCCTCCTGTTCAAGCCAGGCCGCGGCCTCCTCCGGTCCCGCGCCCGCCACTACCAACACCAGCTGGCCCTTTCTAAGCATCACTTGGGCTTCCTGGCGGAGATAGAACTGTACCAGGCGTTCTGCCGTGTCCGCATGCAGAGATTCGTTTAGCTTTGTCAATTCGTGTACAACATAAACCCGGCGTTTGGGTAGCAAGGCGGCGATGTCCTGGAGTACCATCAGCAAGCGGCGTGGCAACTCGTAAAAGACACAAGGGTAGTGGGCGCGCCCTACCACCTCGCGCAGGTAGCGCAGCCGAGCGCCTTGTGAGCTGGGTAGCAAATTCCCAAAAAAGAAAGACCCATCCTGAAAGAGGTTGGATCCACCCCTCTTCGACCCGGCGGCGTCGGGATCCGAACCCGAGGCCGTGTCCTCAGTAGGGGCACTACCCGGGTCGTGTGGGGAGGACGTGAGCCCGCAAACGGCGAGTGCGCCCATGACGGCGGAAGGCCCCGGCACCGCGGTGACTCGAACGCCGTGGGCCTGCATCTCGCGCACGAGGCCCGCCCCGACGTCCCCCACGCACGGCGTCCCGCTAGTCGTCACGAGCGCCATGCTCCGCCCGCCGCGCAGCAGCTCCACCAGCCGCTCGCCGGTGGCCCGGGTGTTGCTGTGGGCATAGTGAATGAGCCGGCCCTGGCTGGGGATCTGGACAAGGTCGAGCAGCGTCCGTGTCGCGGGCCGGTCCGACGTCACGATGTAGTCCACCTCGTGCAGCACGTCCAGGGCGCGGAGGGAGAGGTCCTTGAGGTTGCCAATCGGGACGGACACGACATGCAGGAGGGCCTTGTCAATCGGGGTCGGCTTGGTAAGGGGGTCGATGACGTTCTCCGGGCTGAGGCGGGACTGGCGGTAGTAAAAGCTCCGCCGTCGGGGGGGGGTTGGGTGAAGCCACCGGGACGGACACCGGAGAGGGGGGTTCGGGGGAAGGAGGGAGGGGCTCGGGAACAGCAACGGTGTGCCCAGTGCCCGTCGCATGTTGGGTTCACGTCTTGGACTGTTGACAGAAAACAAAAGGTCGGGGAAGAATAAAAAGATAGTAAAAACAGGTCAGACGCATCTCGCTTACCTGAAGTAGGGGATGGAATAGCCCCACAAATGTCACCGCCACGGTGTTACTTCCTTATTCGATTGAACACAGACAAAAAAAATGAATGGATTGCTTATGCATTAATATTAGTTGATTGTGGTTAAACGAGGGGTTAAAGGACTTGTTAAGGCTAACAAACAGAAAAGGAACATTGAGATTTTTGACTAGTGTGGGTTGATTATCGATCGTTAGGGGGGATAATGCGAACTTGTAAACTTTTTTCGGACTCCGCTGATGACAAAAGCTCATTGTAGGAGTTATATTGAGCACATTCAGAATGCACGGGTGTTGTAGGAAAGTGAAGCGCATCCTGGAGACGCTCGATAATATAGTCCAGGGTTATTCGTTCCATAAAAATATTGTCAGGTTCCTTTTGAAACAAGATGTCATCCCCGATGTCGTCATTATCGGCCTCAATCACTTCTAGACCTTCGACTAGGGCTTCAGCTTCGCATGGAAGCTCGGGTAAAGACAAGTTTGGTGAAAGATTGGATAGAAAATAAGTCTCCATCTCAAGAATGGAAACCTTCTTTTCGCGCAACAACTGGCGCAGCACAAGGACAATGGAAAGAAGTGAGGAAGCTTGGTCTTGAACAAAAAAATGAGAAGCAGCATCGACCTTCGTCAAATCAGACCCGCTGCACGCGTGCAAAACCAACGGACACACTGTACACGCCGCGTAGCGCACTTCTGCTGTATCATCGCAAAGAAGACGAACAAGAATGAGTAAAAGAGGTTCAATATCGTGCAATATCTTGCTCTCGGGTTCCACTATAGCCACAAAAATATCATCCTCCGATTGATATTGCTGGGTTTTCCTAGTGGAAAACACTTCAAAGCAATCGGACAAGGCCTCTAAAACGGCTTTGCGTGCCATCAGCGGGCTCTCTGCCCCTGCGAACGATGACAAAATTTTGGTTATTTTCCCAGGTAGCACCCTTTCAGTCTGAAGGCTCCTGCAAACTAAAAAACGAAGCGCTGTACCGCAAAACTCAGGGGGGTGAAGCCACGTTTCAATTTCTGAGTCAGGAAAGTCGGAGTCCAAGAGCGCTAATACACACTCTTGGATTATCTGATAATCGGTATCCAGTGTTCGATCCATTTCCAATGGATATCGACGCCGTTGAAGAGATACGGTGAACTCGAGATGTGCCATTACCTCTTCCCAGGCTACGCAACCCAAGGCATACCCGCTGCGGTGCTGTTTGAGAACATTTGTTAAGGCTTGTAATGATGCAGAGGGTAAATCAACAGCATACGTCACCTTCAGGACCTTCGTAATTATCCCCATCAACTCTCCCTTCGGGAAAAGTCTTCGTTCGGTTGTGTAGAAATGCATATGGCTTAGTAAAAGAGAGGTGACATTGTGTAAGCCACTTGCGAGATCTAGAGTACGGACTTCATGCGCCAAAACACATCGTATAGAGCGACGGATTGTTTCCTCACATTCGGAATCGCCCGGTTCACTGGAGTGAAGATGCAAAAAGCGAACCGCCAGGAGTAAACAAAGAGCTCCAGCCCTCCGAACCCCACCATGATACGCCTTCGCTCGCTCATAAACCGGAATGGGTGCACATATGTTCCTTTCCAGGATTGGCATGGCCCAAGCCAATAGGCTCATCAGAATCTCCCTAGGAAGCCCATTATGGGGGCCAAAATAGACAAGATCGCTTATTAGCTCAACGCAAGCAGCAGCGATCGCTGGACAGATGATAGAACCCTCTTTTAGAACCTTTTCATGACTTCGAAGGATGTCCGTGAGGGTGCGAGTGACTTCCATCGCCAAGGCAGGGGTGGCCCGGCTGCTAAGCCGGCCCTGCCGTGGAGGATAAGCGAGGCTGCCGACGTAGTGGAGGTGAAATCGCTGGAGTTGAAGAAGGCCCCCATGAAGGCTGTTGGAGATGGCGACTTTGGGGTCAAAATGACGGAACGCCACGACCCGCAGGTTGGCCGGGATGTCGGCGCAGGGAACAATACACACCAACGCCCTCGCGCTGGCGGTGCGCGCCGCGAGGCATCGATTCGCCCCACAACCCATCACCGCATTCACAATACGATCCGTGAGGTTTTTTCCCGCCAGGACGGGTGTGGCGTCCTGTCCGGCCGATTCCGCCCCATTGGGGGCCGGAAAGGATGTTTGGGAATCGTTCAACAGGTTAGACGGGTCGGGTGAGAGCATTGAAAGCATCTGCAGGACTGGAAAAATATTTAAAGTCGGTGCGTCGGTCAAGGAAACGACCGACGAGGTCGAGCGTTGGGTGAGAATCCGCAAGGCAAATGAAACGGCACGTGGGGTTCGTCGGGTAATGTCGTGCAAAGAGGTATTGACGCCTACCCCACCCGTGGACGGATGCTCCCCTACAAAGCGCTGGAGCACCGACGAAAAGAGCATTAAGGAGCTGTTTTGAATCCCCCAATTAGGGTCGCTAAATCCCTCGCTTGCGAGCAAAAATACCTCCTCAAGGTATGGAATTGCACGCTCAGCTAGAGTTTTATCGTCAAAGATAAACTTTAACACGTTAAGGCTGTTCGACCGTTGGCTGAGCTGGACCTCCGTCGAAGTCTTCGCAACTTCTATTGCATCCCCCTCCGCCTGAAGCCCCTCACGAACCAACGCGAGGAGTCTCGACAGGACGCTTGGAAAAATAAAACACGGCAAGGAGCCATCTTCGGCACCTAAAATTGAAAGAATGGCGTGGGGCAATCCTTGACTACGTCGAAGCATACGAGAGGCGTCGCTAGACATCACACCATCCTCTCCCATAAGGTAATCAGCCATTTCGCTCGGCAAGCTGTAAAAAAGGGGTAGTCGGCAGCGCAGTAGAGCCTTCATAAGCATTCGAAGTGCATCCTGCACACACCGCATCACCCCATTATGCTTTGTCGATAAAAGCGTATCCACCAGATCAAAACAAATGGTTCTCACAACCTCAAAATTAAGCTCCTCCAATTTATGTAGTTCCACGGTGATAAGAGGCACCGCTAAGGTCACGCTTCGAATGGCAAGCCACGTATTATTGGCAACAATGCGCATTAATCCTTCCGCCTCCGGGCGTTGGTGGGGATCATACACGTGGCCTCTACAATCCACCACCACGCTGGGGGTGGTGCCTGTTGAATTCGCGAAAGAAATACCCTCCTTCTTCGCCTCCGGGCGACCTAATGCAGACCACATAAGTGGCTCGCTCCCGACGAGTGTACGGCAGGTGCGAAGAACCCCCAAACTACACTTGAGAAATTCGTTCGAAGCCTCCCTCAGAATCGACAAATTCGAGGCCCGTGTGGCTTTGCCATCCAAAGATGTCCGAAAGCGAGAAAACACACTCGTTAAGATCGCCATACACAACGAAAGCCTCCCGTGAAGTGGGTTCTGACGAACAAACGCACAAACCTCCACATCCATCCCATTCTCACGAATGGTTTGTATGTCTTTGCACATCGAATCCAGCGTAGAAACCTCCTTTAAAAAGTTGTCAAGGCGCTTTTTAAAATCCTTTTCGGGATCCGCCGCGGCGGCTTCATAAGCCTCAGGTGTTTGAGAATCAAATAACATAAAGCGCAAGACCGCACCCTCCGCGTTCCGATAGGTAAAAGAGCCTCGGAGCTCGGAAATCGATGACTTTAGAATGCTCGCTGGATTGACCACCTCCTGAACGATCGGAAAGGCATGCTGAAAGTATAAAAGTAGAACCTTCTTGGCGCATTTCCGCGCCAAGGCCCATCCATCCGAGAGATCAGCTAAAAGAGGTTTAACAATGCTGCTTGGAAAGCACTCCCGCAGACTCGGCTGCCAGGAGGATGGTGAATCATGCCCCTTTATTAAACTCATCAGCTCCGTTAATAAAATCACATAGCAAGAAGCCGCCGCCGTACGACGTTCAATGGAAAGACCTTGACTGTGTTCAATGGTCAAGCCATAGTGCTCGGCAAAAAGCCGAACACAAGAGATGCAGTGGTTGACAAGCATCTGCCTATAAGCCTCATCCACGCCTTTGAGGTCGCTTTCCGCCGTTTTATTACAAAGATTGCCGCGCGAAGAAGTGCTTGTTCGCTGGGTGCCTCGTTTAAAGCTCTCCGAGATCTGCACAGTCCATTTCCGATAGGAATCCAACAACCCTTTTCGTGCCGTAGTATCCCCCCCAAGATGCATATTCAACGAAAGAAAAGCCTCCACCACCTTGCACTGCCAAGCCTCGATGGGCGCCACCCGTTTGGGGGCAAACACGCACAGGCGAAACGCGGTATTTCGCAAATCAAAACTCCACGCCTGCAGACTCGCCTCAACAATCCTAAAAGTTTCACTCAAGGGGGCCATAAAAACGGAAATATCCAAACCCAAATCTCGCGCACGGTATAAAACCTCCACAACGCCCTGATAAACACGTTCACGTTTGGCCCCTGACGTCTTATGGAAGGCCAGAAGGGCGTGGATAAGAGCTGGAAAAGCCCCGCTAAGCTGTTTAAAAAGGGGTACCACAAAATGCGAGACGATGTTCGAAATATTAACGGACTCGCTCACATTGGCAATGACCCGCACGTATCCCACTTCGGCAATCGCGCGGCTTAATGGGTAAATCAGGCCTTTATGAAAAAGATCTGAAATATTTAGCAAAAAAGGCTCCAAATGCGCGTTTGCGTGGCAGGATTCGGAACTTTTGGGATTTAGAAGTCGCGCAAGCTTGACAAATACGTCCCCACATACATTGCCGACTTTATGATTGCTCGCTCCCGATAAAAGCGACTTCGAAAAGCAAACCAAGGCAGGTTCGTGAGCTAAAGAAAGAGGCATTCCTATCGCAGCGAATGTAGAATCGCCGTCGGTATTTTTGATAAAAAATAAATCGAGACCTTGCAGGATCTGCTGAAGTGGTATCACAGAAAAAAGACCAAGCAAAGCATGATACCTCGCACGACGCTCGCTTTGAATAGCAAGAACACGAAGCAGCGTTTCCATTGAATCTGTCAACATCTCGGCTACATTCTCTCCATTTTCGTCTTTTCTTTGAGGGGAACTTAAAGATGGGGGGTGAAAAATAACCCGGATGGATCGAAACTGCTGCTTTGCCAAAAGAACCTGATCGTAGGTTTCGTAAAGAACGCCTGACATGGATTGGGTACCGTCATCCCAAAGCCCCATAATAAGCTGCGTGATGTTGTACAGGGTGCATTCTAACTTTACGGGGAACAAACTGCACGCGTAGAAAAGAGAAAATATATTTTCCCTATCCTCATATGGTGTTGAACCCTTCAGAAAAGAATCAGAATTTATCGGAGTCGATAAATCCTTCTCCCGGCGCTCCTTCTTGCGTTGATGAAAGGTAGAATCCATCGTGAGTGTTTCCTGATTAAATTTAGAATCGCGATGTTTTGGAATGTCGTCTGATTGCGTACGCAGCCAGTTTGATATAAAAGAAAAGCACGCTGCTGCGTGGCGTACGACACTATCCATTGTTTGGATTGCCATAAATCGCGTTTCGGGCTCTTGAATCGCCGAGGAAAACCTTTCCGCGAAGGGGACAATGATATCATAAGCTATAACTTCTCTCTTTTCATCCTCTTTATTGGCATCACTTTTGCTATTTTCGTGTGTATTCTGTGGTCGGTCAGCATGCAAGGGTCCAAGAGGGCGCAAAAGAACGCCGATAGTGATTGGACGGTCGTAAACCGGCCTCGAAAGATGCGCTAAAAGACCTTTCAGGAAGGCAAAGCGGCCGTTGTTTGTGAAACTATCAAAAAGACGTTGGAATGTGCGGATCCTCTCATTCGCTTCGCTTAACAACGCCAGGGATGAATGAAGAGTATAGACAAGTGAAAATACGTCCTGTGGGAGCGCCCATAGCTCTGTGGCCGAAATTATATTTTCTTCCACCTCCGCGCAAACGAGGCGGCAGACGGCGTGAATGTGAGAAGGATCGCATTCGCCCACGGTTACCATGGAAGCTAAGAGTAATCCACCGGCATTAAGTACGTCTTTGGGAAATAACGTTGACGTGAGCATCAGAAAAACAGGGCGTAGAAGTCTTGTAAAAAAATCTTCCAGTACACATTGCCGGACTTCACACGGCTGATCCGCCTTTCGAAGGCGCGAACGCCGTAATAAGGTATGTAAATCGGGTAAATACCGATGCGTGTAGGTTGCCACCATCCGCACACAAAACCGAACGCTATCGAGATCTTCATCAAATACGGCGCCTTTATCCATATTATTAGAGTTATTACTATTATTCGTATGATTAGAATGATAATTCGTATGAGGTTCTTCCATTTCGCCTGGAGGAAGCGTAATAAGACGTCGCTGCTGAATGGCGTTGTTCACGCACCAACAAAGGCAATCCGCCAGGAGCGAGAGAATCTCGAGAAAGGTATGTTCAAACACGCGCGGCGCCATTGGCATGAGCGTTGAACTAAGACAATCGATAGTGTTCAAAAAAAACATCACATCCTGCTTAGAAGCCTTCATTTTGGAAGCTAAAATCGCCGTGGATGAACCAATCGTCTCAACTTGACAGGACGACGAGAAAATACTCGGCAGGTTTGTCGTGGGATCCTCCTTCCAAGACTTTACGATCATGCGAATAAAAATCTCTTCAAATTTTTGGAGAGCCGCGTCGTCGAAAACGCAGGTTTGGCGAAGCAGTGTCGTGAGGGCACGATGTAGATACCGAACACGACTATCCAATAAAAGCGGTATGGCAAACTCCTCGGTTAAGATATTCATACAAGATTTAAGATTGCACGCGGCCACGGATGATGCAGGTACGTTAATCGGCACGGAAAGACTCTCACGCACTCTACTGGTAATCCGCGAGATCGCTTTGAGCTGAGAATCAGGTGTATTCACAGTGGTTAAAAATGTATCCAACGCTTCCGCTATCACACTCAGGTTTTTTTGAATTTTTTCAAGGCCTGGGTTGAGCCCCCCAGTTGAGGTGGAGGCCATGGGTGGTGATAGATCAACTATATTGCCAAGTTTATGACGTGCGCTTTTTAACTGCTCCGTAATATTCAAAGGGAGAGTCATGGTAGCGAGCAAATTCGGATGACGTCTCCCTCTTCGCATGAATGTTGAATTTGGATCTACCGCATCGCTGCCTCCCATGGTTTTGATTCGAAAAAAAAGTGGAATAATGGAATACAAAGTAATTTAAAAAAAGATTACGGTATATATACACTATTAAAGTCTACTTTGAATAGAGAGAAGGACTGGAAACGGTAGTTTAACTCTATTTAGCGCAAACTGCAGACCTTTAGGAAAGCCTTGAATACCATCATATTCATTACTGCAATATGTTCTCTTTTTGATACATATTCGTCACTCTTAAATTATGGTCTCCAAATAAAAGGGAATGAAAAACGATAAAGAGGTAGATATATGAAAGTATGTCCTTTAGAAATAATGGTATCTTCATGCTGTCGGTTTTAAATAGAACTTTAAAAAGCATCATTTTCCCTTTAAGGCCAAAACTCAAGGTAATTTACAAATTATGTTGAGTAGTTGCATGGGGCACAAATGAAAAGAAGGAAATTAAGACTAAAGTATTAAATCCCTAATTTTTTTCTTTCAACGTCAATTTATAGGGGATAAGCATCTTATTAAAAAGATTAAATTGGAAAACAAAAATGGTAGATCTAAGCATGAGGTCCCTTTACCTTGCATAAATTGCCCTCATTTCGTTTTTTTTTGAGCTCGACGGTATATTTGGGTCGAACACGACCATAAATATACTGTGGACATTCCGCTTATATAAAAAAACTCAATTGAAAAATATTGGATCTTGGGATCCTCTTGGAAAATAATAATAAAAACATTCCTTTTCTTTTCTTAACTAATAGAATTGGCCACATCGTATTGGTAAAGGCAAAGAAACACCTGATCTACTACTAATCATCGATAATAGGCCCATTATTAAGAAAGTAGGAATCGTTGATAAATTCAATTTCATTATCCTCGACCTCGAGGAAAGGACCCTTGTTAAGAGAAAAGAAAGGGGAGATATCCTCCACATGGATCCTACCGTTCGAAGAAGCTGTTGGAGTTAAAGAGGTCTTCCAAAACTCACCAGTTCGGAAGCGCCTTGCCGTGATTACATCCCCCGCTTCGTTCCCCTCATCCAACCCGCGGAGCACCTCTTTCGGAGCTAACCAATGCACACCGAACATGGTGAAGCTCACCTGGTGCTCCGCGATCTCAATTTCCGTAATGAGGCTGAACAACTCCTGCTGGAGACTTGCGTGAAACTGCTCAAGATCAAAAACACGGTTTTCCTCTTTTAAGGCAAGCTGAAAGCCGTGGTACGAGATTGGTCGACGTGAAAGACGTAGTGCCTGTAAAACCCCTAGTGCGGTATTCCACTTTTCGCGGAAATCTAATATCCGTGTGGCCTCCTCGATGCTCACACGAAATCGCTTGGTCTGACGATTACAAGTAATGCTAAAGTAAACGACGCGCCCCTTATCCACAATATCCACCGGAGCAGAATATTCCACTTGTGGGCATAATAATAAGAGCGATGCGAAGAGGTAGTTTGTGCTAATCGCAGAAAGCCGTGAGCAAAGAATCATATTAGAGCCATTACGCAAATCTAAGGGAACCACCGCGACGCCAATTTCCCACGGGACGCTTGTTGGGTAGGTGAGGTTGGGAACTAGTTTCTTTGAAGTTCGCACAAAGGTCAAGGTAGCCGAGCGATCTTTCACGTTAAGCTTGCCAGCGTCATTCACGAAGGCGACCTTTCGCGCGAGCGCGGCGGACAAGACAAAGACCAGCATTGTTGCGTTCTCCCTAATACACCGCACAACCCGCTCTAGGTTCTGGTTTTCATCCAAGTTATCGAGAAAGGCGTAATCAAGCATCTGCTCGCGGAGGTGAAGCATCAGCAGCCGGACCCTCTCCAGGAGCCATTCTTCGACCTGGAGCTCCTCTGCGAGGCTGACAGTCATCTCCCCGCGCGCGCGCTGCCTGGCCCACTCCAGGAAGATGAGGGCGTCGGCCAGAACGTCGCTCTGCCGCGCGACCTCGCCGGCGAAACGTGCGCGGCTCTCGACAACCCGCCGCGCGGTCTCCTCGCGCTCGCCTGGGCCAGGGGCCCAAAAGGGCAGCGCCCCGACCGCGGCCACGACAACACCCGCCTCACCAAAACCCAGTGCGCCGCTGCCGACGACGAATCCGGCGAGGTCAAGCCCGACGGGGAGCCGCGCGGAGGCCTCGCCGAGGAGGGTCAGCCGCGGGCTCGACGCAGCGGTGGTAAGGAGCAGCCTCTCGCCGAGGCTCCCACGCGCGCGTTCCCACGTGTCCGGGTCCGGCGGCACGAGCACGTCGGCCGCAAGCA